TTAATTCTTGAAGATAACTGCGCATTTTTGCGTTCTCGAATTAATTTGAATGCGCTCCCGATTAAGTTTTTAGTTGAAATTTGGTATGAGTAAACTAGGCTTGATGAATAAGATGTTCAAAAATTTTCATCAAAAAATTCCATCGGGAACCGCCCCAAATCGCGACGACCGGACAAAGTCTCGTATAGAAGGACTTAATTGACTTTTTTATGAAAGTTCGAGGACCTATTTGACAGTTTTCCCTTTATTAATTAATGAGATTTAGGTTGAAACCAATACCTTATTTTCTTCAGCCTTGAAGGTGTAAAAGCACTCTTGAACTACATATCTACCATACTGGCTTGTCATTAGCTCCACAAATCTCATGGATAGAATGAATGTAATAAATTGTCCCAGCCCAGTCTTCTTTAGTCTCTTGATAAGGTGTTGTAGTGCACTTGACCTATATGAAAACAAAGAAGTGATGGTCTAAACTAATTAGTAAACCTTAAAACAATCAATAGTAAAATTAAAATTCTATATAGTCACGAATTAAAATAGAACTTGTACACATAAGAAAATATAGATACTATATATAATATGGTCTAGCTATTCGAAATATCATTGTAACTAAAGGCCGGTTAAGTGGAATATCACAATTGTCATGCATTAAGTAATCATTGTTGTGAATATAGATTTACAATGATTGTGTATCAGTGTATCGAAGAAATAACTCACGTTCTTGTCCATTTTTATTTTTGAAAAATTCTATTTGGAAACAAAAATTGTATACTTTTTGTGTACATACACCTTCTCTGTATACATACACGGACAAATCGTTTAGAAAAAATTAGTAATTGTCTATGTACGCAGATGAGTCTACAAAAAGTGTATATCTTTTCACCTTTTGGCTACACCACCAATAGTTGTTTAATTATTTGTATCATATGTTTGTAATCATTGAAAAAAGATATAAAAAATACAAAAATTGTAGATGAATGATAAAAATGTGAATTTAATACGGAGTATTTGATAAAATTTACCCATATTTCAATTGAGAAGTGTAGATAAATAGCTCCTTGCTTGATATCAGATTGAAAAAGATGGTCTCCAGCTGCTTGGAATCACAAAAATCAAGTAGTCTATGGATGAGACAATGGCCATATGGGTCTATTATCACCTCAAAAATCCCTCTAAGGATCCCATCAAGAACTTCCTGTCTATCCATTGGAGTTCCATACTTAACCAGATTTTGAAGTTCCAATGACCCTTCTTGTGTTTTTGCCATACTCACAAACACATTCCTTACCCCATTCACTCTTGGAAAGCAATCTTCATAGTCAGTATAGCATGAAAAATAATCCTCATAACCATTATTGATATCCAACAAGTTGTATGAATAACTACATGAGCCTCCTGCGAACTCAGTCCAACTATTCTTTTCTGGACATATAAAAATAAAATACGTAAATAAATAAACAAACAAACAAATAAATAAAGAGAATATTACCAAAAACAGGACTAAAAAAGATCGAAAATTCCAAAATAGGACTGTCATGTTTTTATTCCCAGACTAATTAATATCATGTTTTGGCAGCCTAGCCTTCAAACATGACAGTATTTTCCAAACTTAACAGTAATTATTCCTATTTTGAGAATAAAAAACATGGCAGTCCTATTTTGAAATTTTCTATCTGTTATAGTCCTATTTCAGGAACTTTCCCATAAAAGAAATGAAAAGAACACACTTTAAGTTTTCTCGGCAAAATAGTCAAATACCGAAATTCGGAGTATTATTTACCTGGAGATTTAGGATCCTGTATAATTATTTTCCTCCATTCGTCTAGTCCCTTTTCTAAAGACCTGATCGATGGACTAGGCGGTTGAGAATGGAAAGAAGCCATATGTGTTAATTGTGGAGATAATCGAAGGAGTTCGGTCGCTAGCTATATATATATATATATATAGACATCAAAGTTTAATTAATTTTGTTTCCTAATCCTATTTGTATTTCTTGTTTCCTAATTGATTATTTGGGAATCACTCAACTTTCCATTACAATATAGGAGTGGTACGTTTGTTTGTTTGAGATTATGTCATCAATTTGTAGTGTTTGTTTCATACTCCATATATACCCGGGTCATATTATGGAGGATATTTTATTTAGTAATTATGTAATTAGTATAAAGTCTTCGATCAATCCAAAATAAGTTTTTTGTTGTTGTTGATCTTGTAATATATGCATCATGTTCTATTAGTGCCTACGTTATTTAGAAATCTATCACCATTTAGAAAAAACAAATAGATAGTATATTATTTACATAACTCCATCCAATAGAAACTTTCAATTCAGTGTTTATAACTGAACTGGAGCGCGCTAGACGTACTAAGAAATAAACCAAATATATAATCAAAATATATAAAGTAGTTGACAAAATTGTGATCCAAATAACTTTAGTAACTATAAATATGTTCAAATGTTACACTTGGGAAAACTTACATACAGTAACTTATAGTCACTTAGGAAAAACCTCACGTACTAATTCTAGCGATGAATGCCTTAAAATTGATCACTCGCATTTTTAAGATATGCTTTGACACTATTCTAGAAAATATACTGTGTACATAAGTATTTTTTGAATGGCATGACAAAGAATGATAAGAAATCTATTTGCTACGGTTGTTTCATTTAGGATTTTAATCACTCATTTATGTTCAATTTTTAAACTTAAGTTACCATGACACTATATTGTAGAAACTATTAGTCATATTTGTTTAAATAAGTTTTATTATAGTAATAGTTTTGAAAAAAGCTCATGGAAGTTAGATCCTAGGTTGATAGTTTTCAATTATTCGGGCCCTATATCGATACTTATCGTCTTTCAGGCCCCGAATTGATAATTCATCGATTCATCTTTCAAGTCCGGAAGTAATAATTCATCTAATTTGATCGATCTGGTCTATTTAAATCTAATCGTAGCATTACAATAAGTCCAATTAAAAACATTTGTTTTAGGCCTAAATATATTTCTAGTCTTTGCATATATAGTGAATCTTGTTCCACGTCCCTCCTAAAATTACGTTTTCCATCTCTCTATAATTTATGATGCCTTTTTTTCGTTAATGATCATAACAGACTCTTTTGATAATGAAACTATAAACGTGACTAGGAATAACCAAACTCAAACCTGGCAACCGATTTTGGCCCGGCCTGCCATAAAATTTATTGGTCGGTTTTCTTTGTTGTCTAGTTTAAAATATCCAATTATCCATATTGAATTTGAAAGTTCGTTAGTTCGGGCTCACTAATGGTCAGCTGGTCACTAACTAAAATCTATAACCTGGTTCACAGTTCACACTAGTCAAATCCGAAACAATTACCTCTTATATAAAATCAATATAACATACCTATACTTCCTGTGTCCCTTAAAACTCCGTCTGTTTTCGTTAATCGGGTTCAAGTTTGACCAATTATACATTTTTAAAGAAATTATTTAAAAATGATATGAAAATATCATTTGTTAAGAGTACTTACGTAAAAGCATAAATTTATAACTTTTATAATATTATACTAATCAAAATCATGATCACACTTTATCACTGTACCATTGACTTGAAAAGTCAAATATCGCAAAGTTTTAAGGGATGTTAGTAATACGTAGTACTCCGTATTATTTATCTGTATGTGCCTTAAACAAAATAATAAGATAAACTTTCTTTTAAGAAATATATATAAAGATAAAGTATGTTTGGATTAGAATTGATGGTGATCATTTTTAGACAATTTTTTTCTTGATTTGTTCAAAAAACATATTTTAAAAATGTGAGTCATTAATTTTACAATGTTTTAACCGTAATTTTAGTCTAGCTCCAATTCAAGAAGTTATAAAACAGTGAATTAAAATTTAAATTTTCTAGTAGAGTAATAATTTTGATTTTTTAAAAAAATTTAATAAAAATATAGTAAAAAACCCATAAAAATATGGATACCTTTCCCACCGCCTCACAGTACCACCTCCTTTGATCGGTAAAATTTCTTTCATTTTTATTCAAAAATCCATTTTCCCCCGAAAATGGCATTATTACTCTTCATAATGCCAAAATTCTCATTGAATCTACCATTAATATGACATTACTAAACACGTTGGCAGATATTTTTTAAACGAATTAATAAAAAATAGTAAATACTCATACAAAAATTAAAAAAAAATACGGATACCTCTGATCGGTGAAAATTCTGTCATTTCGTTGTGTATAAATGTCATTGTTTTATGAAAATGCCAAGAAAATGGCATTATTACTTATCATAATATAATGCCAAAATTCTCATTGAATCTGCCATTATTATGACATTACTAAAAATGTTGACAGATTTCCAACCGGTGATGGGAGCTGGTGGTGATGAGGGTGGCAGAGGCGGCGGCGTTTTTTTTAAACATTTTTTTTTTAATTTTTAATTGTATAAATATTTTATAAGTGTTTTAATATTTTTTGACGTTTTTTATTACTCGGTATTTTTTTACATTTTCTATTATTTTTACGTTTTCTATGATTTTATTATTAATTAAGACAATTGAAAAGCTACAAGGGTATATTTGTCCAAACACACATATAAATAGTTCTACTAGGGGGAATTAAAAATTTGTAGTCCTATTTGTACTCTTGGGCCACTTTTTTGACCTATTTAGGTAATAATTAACTCTGGAAGAGTTTGTACTAATTAAATAATGACTAGATAAATTAAAATAGCGTCCACAATATTTTGTACTATGTACATATGAAACAATCACTTCAAGTTGATGACATGATCTCAAACAAACAAACGTAATACTCCTATAATGTAATGGAAAGTTGAGTGATTCCCAAACAATCAACGATTAGGAAACAATAAATACGAATAGCATTAGGAAACAATACTAACTAAACTTTGATGTGGCCACTATATATATAGCTAGCGATCGACCTCCGGCGATTATCTCCACAACTTCACTATATTATTTACATCACTCTTAACGTTTCGAAATTAATTAAACACAAATGGCTTCCCTCCATTGTCAACTGCCTAGTGCTACGAGTCTCGACCCTAGGTTGATCAGATCTTTAGAAAAGGGACTGGACGAGTGGAGGAAAATAATACAGGACCCTAAATCTCAAGGTAATATTAATTTCTTACTTGACAATTTTGCCCAAAAAAAAACTAAGTGTGTTATTTTCATTTATTTATTTACGTATTTTAATTTTATGTTTCCAGAAAAGAAAAGTTGGACTCAGTTCGCTGGAGGCTCATGTGGTTGTTCATACAACTTGTTGAACAATAATGGGTATCAGGATTATTATTCATACTATACTGAATATGATGAAGATTGCTTTCCAAGAGTGAATGGTGCAAGGAATAATGTGTTTGTCAGTATGGCAAAAACACAAGAAGGGTCATTGGAACTTCAAAATCTGGTTAAGTATGGAACTCCAATGGATAGGCAAGAAGTTCTTGATGGGATCCTTAGAGGGATTTTTGAGGTGATAATTGACCCATATGGCCATATTCTCATCCATAGACTACTTGATTTTTGTGATTCCAAGCAGCTGGAGACCATCTTTTTCAATCTCATATCAAACAAGGAGCAATTTATCAACACTTCTCTTGTGAAATACGGGTAAGTAAACTTATCAAAAATTAATTATATTAAATTCACATTTTTCTTTTTCTTTTTTTAATCTTTTTTTCAATATTACAATCATATGATAAAAATAAAAATTGACAAGAACGTGAATTATTTCCTTAATACACACAACCATTATAAATATATATTCACGATATTGATTACTTAATTAATGCATGACTATTGACCTATTGTGATATTCCACATAAAATATAGCTACAATGATGGATATTTCGAATCGAATATACGTAGTAGTATACATAGTTTCTTATTGTTGTGTAAGAGTTCTATTTTAGTAATAATATAGAATGTTTAATATTAGTATTGATTGTTTTAAGTTTAATTTACTAATTAGTTTATATCACTTCATTGTTTTCATATAGGTCAAGTGCACTACAACACTTTATCAAGAGACTCAAAAAGACTGGGTTGGGACAGTTTATTACGATCATTCTATCCGTGAGATTTGTGGAGCTAATGACAAGCCAGTTTGGTAGATATGTTGTTCAAGAGTGCTTTTACACCTTCAAGGCTGAAGAAAATAAGGTATTTGAGTAATTTGACTCCCTCCGTCCCATTTAAAGATTCACGTTATTGTTCTTAATTTTTTACTTTATATATCTAACTTTTATCAAATTTAATTTTTCTTGATCAGGTACTATAAAACTTTTAATGTAGTTTCTGATTTTGTAAATCTTATTTACTAAAAATAATCCTATTATACTTGAACCAATGTTACATTCTAACGGGAGATTGAACTAGTTTGGAGTATGTTACAGAATTAGATATTTGAGGGTTTTAGAGGGGAATATAATGGAGGGGATGGGTTAGCTTTCATGTTCAGAGTAGCACTGTAGCATAATAATATTAAAAAATAACCGATAAAAGTAATAAATATATTCTTAAATATATAATACGAAGTATAAAATGACCAAAACATGCATTTTCTTATGTTTATGATACTCCTAATTAAGTGCAATTTAAAAAGATAGCTTGAGTAATTTTTTGTAAAATACTAACTTTACCACCCTCTTTTAGTGAATCAAACACTTCTTTTTTTGAAAAATTTGCATTTATATTCCCGCTCCCCCTTTGTTTGTAAACACCCTTACATCTACTTTTATGCATTATATTTAATATCACTTTTTATAGAACACACTTAAAGAATAATAATTAAAGCACCCCTCTTATTTCTACTATACTCCGTTAGTAGTCCGTTTTATTCAACAGTCTAGCTGGTATATATAATTGATTAGGGAAAAAGTTAATCACATTAGCTAGTATGTTATTTCAATTCGCAATACAATTTGTAACTTTATTATTACAGGTCCTATACAACTGTGCAATCCATTACTTCAAAGAGGTGGCTACAACAATATATGGATGTTATTCTTTGAATGTTTGCCTCGGTTGTATTGGTGGTAACCAGAGACTTCAATTACTTGAAAACGTAGCAGAGAAATCAGAATATTTAGCTAATGATCCTTATGGGTAAATATTTCAAACATGAATCTGATTAGCATATTCATATCATAAACGTTACACTCTTTAGTGACTAAACTTGATATTACCTCCCTTGAAACAGGAATCAAGTTGTACAAGAAGCGTTGATGCTTAAAAATGAAGAGATTACTCAGAAAATATGTGATCACCTCAAGAGGAGTTACATTCATCTGGCTCTTAAAAAGAGTGGGCATAATGTTGTTCAGAAATGCATTCAAACATCGCACTATGGATTGAAGTCGGTGGTTGAGTGTATCTTGAGCAGCGAAAAGACTTTTTTGCTTCTAGCCCGTGATCGCTTTGGGAATCATGTCATCCAAACAGCTATTAAGATTGCAAAGGTAAACAACTCATCTTTTATAATTAATTTGAATCGCATTGACCATTTCTTCATAGTAATCTTATCATGCATTTTCATTTTTATACGTACAGACAGATAATATCGAGCTTTATCAATCTCTTCTTGCGGCCCTCAAAGCACAACGTTTGACTCTTTCTCATCACACATTTGGGAAGCACCTATACCGTCATGTAGAAGATTTCGACACCAACATGGGAGAAGATTAATCTGATTTTGACATCTTTCAATCTTTGTATTGTTTGAAATACGAGCCCCAAGACCCCTATTTGCATTGGAAAGTTGGTGAATGTAATAACTATTACTCTGTTATCATTTTTGGATAATTTTTTTTTAAGTATGGCTTTTATTAGTGGGTTATTAGATGGATTAGATTCCATATGTTAGTTTAGTTTAGCATCCGTAAGTTTGTAAGTTATGTTAGTGAAATGGAAAGCTTCTAATAACCTTCTTCTTATCTTGACTTATTTTTTTTTATATTGTTGGGTTAATGACTTCTTATATTCTTTCAATATATTCTTGGGTTTATTAAAAAAATGTAGGCGTTCACTGCAAGTGTTTTTTTTTTGTAAAATATACTACCACGGAGTACAACTTTTATTGCTAGTAGAATACTTTAATTTGATTTTCCACTGCATTTTTAAATTATTCCAGTTCCCTTTTAATAAAGGTTCTTATACACAATGCAAATAATAGCAAATACATATATAAAATCTGCATTAGAAAGTTGGTGAATGTCATTACTATTACTCCGGGTTATTTTTTGATAATAATATGTGTTTTTTGAAGAATTGCTATTATTAGTTGGTAGATTAGTCAGAATTGTATGTCTTGTTTTTAACACTAAAGGGGTTAAAGACAATATCATATTTTGGCCATTTATATATTTGCTTATCTTCATAGATCATATCTAGCAAGATAATAAATTTCATTGCTACACTCCTGAATGTTACTAGTGACATTAGTAATAATGGAGAGAACATACAAACTATAGCATTTCACTAACTGATAGCATTAATAGGAAGATCATCTATAAGTCTATAACCATGAAGAATAATGATTGGACTATAATAACGAAAAGAAGAAGCAAAGAGCTCCAGACTCCAGAGTTAAACTTTTAGGTAACAGCATTAACAATTTAACATATGTCAAACAGTGAGTAACATTTCGGAACTACCCTTTTAGCCAGTCATTGGCTGATGCCTGATTGCATACCACTGTTAACCAGCATCTGTTGCTCTAGTTCCGGTTCCTATATATTAGGACTGGGAGGTCTGCTCCGTTACCATTCCACAAACCAAGAAACCAATAAGAAAAGAAACTGGGAAATGGAACTTCATATAGTGATAACCCGAAATGTTCTTAGACAGAGACAGAGAGTTGTATGTTTACGCACAAATTACCCAAATGGATAAAAGAAGTCATTAAAACTTGCCACAGTACAAAACATTTTTGGGATCAAATGACAATAAGAGAACTACATGTAAAGCCCTTATGGGACTCCCTATTTCTTCTTAAACATGACCTTATCTTTTGCTTTCTTGAAATCAGCATGCACTACCTGGAAATTGGACATATATAATTTAAATAATTAAGTTCAGTTCTCTATTACGGGAAGGGGGGGGGGGGGGGAGGGGGATCTCAATTAGTCACAAAGACACTACACTTACCTTCATGTGCCTGTCTCTTAGAAGCAAACCAGCTTCGGTACAAAATGCTTTAATATCAGATTATCAGCTCTAGAAAACTCGTCCTTAGTGATCACAAACTCTTCTAAGTTGACATCATCAGCCAACGACATCCTTGATGTGTGTATCTAATGACCAATTAAAATAAGGATTTAAATGAAAACTAATTCCAACTTGCAAAATTTTGAATTAGAGATGTGCCCCCATGCATGCAAATAAATTAACTGGAAAGTCTTCCACCTGGTTTTGATATCGGGAAGAGGAAATTCAATCTTCAAGTCAATCCTACCTGGACAGAGTACGGCAGGGTCACGGCTCTCAATCTATTTAGTGGGGATGATAAACTTAACATCTCCCCTCGAATCAAAACCGTCCAGCTGGTTAAGCAGTTCCAACTTGGTACGCTGAATCTCAAGCTCACCTCCTGAGTGTGCATCATATCTGTTCAAAGAAAACGTTTATAATTGGCACCCTATAACTTTTGTACCCTGAAAAGCATACCAAAACCTTACTTATGGAAACTAATAATCCAACCTTTTAGCGGTCTTCTTTCAATAATCCCACCTTTTGATTATTCATGAATAATCCAACATTTGCACCTCATCTTCATTCATTGGTCCCTGGTCGGTTAATGACCTACTATTCCAAGTTATTTTCTTATCTTTGCAAAATATTATCTTTGTGAAAGATGAGATTTATGGTATAATGATTTGCAAAGATAAGAAAATAGCTTGGAATAGCAGGTCATCAACCGGTCAGGGACCAGTGAATGAAGATGAGGTGCAAAGGTTGGATTATTCATGAATAACCAAAAGGTTGGATTATTGTAAGAAGACCGTTAAAATGTTGGATTATTAGTTTCCATTTTCCCTACTTTTTGGTACCGAATGCATCAATTTCGTCAATGAAGACAATAAACGGTGAGAGATCATCTGCAACCATGAACAGTTCCCTGACCAATTTGGGACCATCTCCCAAGTACTTTTAAATCGATTCACTTTCAACAACACACAAGAAAGTCGTGGAGGTTGTGTTAGCAATTGCCTGAAGATCATAGACAGGCAATCTGTTAGATTCTTTGTACAACACTAGTAGATCCTAAATTGTATATTCCGTACTAGTTTCAAGTTCAGAAATTACAAGTTGATTGACATACAGTCATACTAGTATAGTATACCTACAACAATATAAGCATATTTTGAGGCATGAAATCCGACTAAAGTGCTGACATGATCATGGGTTGTATATGGCCAATAGCTGGTGGCAGTTTTTATTGTTCTATACTAACAAGCTCAGTATCTATTTGAAATTGTTTTGTTATCAATTTGTTATTTCTAAATTTGACATGATTTTTAGTCTGTAGGGAATGGTTGGTATTATTGAAAGTTGCAATACCTAATAATGATGTTTAGTATTATTATTATAATAATGACACAAGCTATACAAAAATTCATTAACACTGAAATGTCATTCATTCATTATCATTACCCCAGTGCCGCAAAGGCTCCCACCTACGGTGGGGTAAGGGGGGATCGAATGTACGCAGTCTTACCCCTATACTAATGCACAAAGAGACTGTTTCCGGATGACTTATAGTGAAAATCGCGTCGAAAATTGCATGGACTGACTGATGCATCATAAAAAAGAAGCGCAGACAATTTAGCGCGCCAGTATGCTTTATTCCATCATTCCCAAGCCAAAAAATAGTGAGTTTTTGGCTCCATTGCAAATGATGGAAATCATTAACACTGAAATGTGAATAGGAAAAATTATAAAGTTGAGCAAATGTACTTGATCTCATCATTAGACGCTTGGCCATGAAAAAATGGTAGGGAAAGGAGAAAAGATTGATAGAGGGAGGTACTTTCTAATGTTTGGTTTTTACCTAGAAAAATGAAATATGATTAATGCTTTTAAAATTTCAGTCTTTTAGATTTTGTAGCCTTTATATGATGGAAACAAATAAATGAACAGAGCTTAAAGTGATACTCCGTATCAAAAATAGATTTATTGAATTTGAAATAATACTTCTTCCGCACACATTTATGTTCCTTCCAAATTTCTCCGATATGTTCTTCTCTAATTGTTTCTGTCAGTGCTACAGATGCAACTTATTTTATATGCATGGTGTTATCCTTCCATTTCCTGTAGATAAACAATGTTCATTCAGCCATGAAAAGCATTGCTTTCTTCAGCCTATCTCATTGACAAGAAAAACTAATATATAATGAAACAATTAAACAAACAGACCATGAAATTGTGAACAAACCTTTGCCAGCAATGTTTTTCCAGTGCCAGGCTCTCCATAGAGAATGACCCCAGTAGTTGGTCTAATACCTAAATCTCCACACAACTCGGAATGTGTTAAGGGAAGCTCTACTGCTTCCTAGATCTCCTGAATTTGTGCATCTAGTCCACCAATATCCGCATACGATTTCCAATGGAGCCTTCTCAACCTTCACCACTGAGGATCAACATCATCTTGAAGAAGGCCAACAACAGAGAGAACCAGGAAATTCAGAAAGAAATATTGTCAACTTTACAGACAACCTATTTTATGTTATTAATGCAAAAGGAACAAATCTATCATATAAATACCTAAGAAAAACAAAATAAAAAAAAGACACAAATAATAGGAAAATAACCTAGTAAAATTAGATAAGTGAATAAATCATATTCTCCACCTCACTGAGTCGAAGATATATGCATTTTTAATTCCTGAACTGGACCCAGAATATGACATTACTCAATTCACGGAATCTCCACCAGATAATCCTGAAGATCCAGAAACTTATGATGGTCAGAGGTATGATCTTGCACTGGTAAGAAACCCAGAATATTTTAAATCTTTGATTAGAGTTCAAGAACGTGAGAGTGGGGTGTTACTTTGGGGTGCCTTAGCAAAGCAATTGGGAAAGACTGATCTACAGATTAGTATAATTGAAGGAACAGTCTTCAATCACTCAAAGGTCAAACCTAGGTCAAACCTCAAAGAGGGGTATATCCATAGCGGAATGGGGAATGGTGTGTCTTTTCGCTATCTAGGGCATTTGAATGGAAGAATCGATACCTCTGAAGTCTGAACAGTCAATATGCTTTTCAAATGATGTTTCATTTAGTCAAGAATGCTTTCTTTCTAAACACATTATTGTCAAGCTTTTCGCTTGGAATTCCTCAGATTTTGGATTGAAATGGTCAGATAAGTTTGCTCTTGGTAGCATTGTAGACGAAAAAGTTCATGAAATAAAGGAGTTCGGTGTTGTTGTCAATTTTAAGAATCACGAATTTCAGTTGGGTCACTTGGGTGGAATCAAGGTGAATCTGGACAATACAATTCAGGCTGCTGCACTTGATGTCTCCAAGTAAGAGTACCCTGTGGATTCATCTTTAAAACCAGAAACTGATCAAAAGCAAGTAGTTGCTGTTCTCCGTGTTGTAGCAGGCTGCACCTTATCCCCCACAGAATCTGAAAGAATAATGGCTGAAGTACATGGTGATGCAGGAGCTGACTTTGTATTCTCGTCCACAAAGTGTTGCTTGGTATCTGTGTTGCTTCATGCTAGTAAAGATTATGCCATTTTGAAGATAGCCTGGGTTCTTCCACTCTATGCTTCATACTCTATGCTGCAGAAACATCTGAGTTGTAAAGATCATGTATTGAAGCTCTTTGCTCAGAAACCAGTGAGATATTGGGAAGGTAGAAGCGCCAGGATGAAGAGGAAGCGGAAGATCTTGGCTGTTTCCTATCACCCACCTTGAGGACAAGGTGGATGTTTTGGAGGGAAGTATTGTTAGGAATACGACTACTTTTAATAAGGATAGATACTTTGGTCAAGTCTACTCTAGAAGAAATAAATAGAATAGTTTGTTAATAATTGTTTTCTGTTGGTAGCTATTAACTATTTTCGGTTGAGCTAGGAGGCTATAAATAGAATAAGTTTGGGACAGGTCAAACAGGCTGTTAGACTGTTGTCTTGGGACTGGAAGATTAGAGAATTGTTTTCTCTTTTCTTTGGGACTCGTGTACTAGTTTACCTTCATCAATGAAGTTTAATTGATCCTTGAGCTAAATTCCTTTTGTTTAGCTAGATTTCATATTGTTTTACTATTCCATACCTGCGTGAGTTCTATCAACCTGTCAGAAATTAGCAAGTGTAACATATGGATCATCCCTAAAAGCCAGTAACCTATTCACCTCACATGCCAGTTCTAAAGGAATCATAATTTTTTCCTATAAAACCCTACGCTAATAATTCACAATAATAAATGCTATTCAGCATGAAAATATTACTTCCTCCGTATTTTAAAGTTTGCAACACTTTCCATTTTGGGATGTATTTAAAAGTTTGCTACACTTTCTCTTTTTGGTAAGTTTTTCCTTAATACACAACTACCCTTACTTTTTCTACTTTTTTATCTTCTCTTTCATACTTTTACGCATTCTCTCCTCCTTTTTCTACACTATTCATTACCCCTACTATTTCATTCTTAAATAATGTGCCCAATGCTATTGTAGTGAACTTATAAATACGGAGGGAGTACAAATTACAAGAACTGAACAATAAATTTTATCTTGAGACAGTGTTGATGTTTTACCTTTAAACTGTCTTGCAAATATTACCTCGAACTCTCTTGCAAATATTACCTCGAACTCTCTTGCAAATGTTTGAATCACAATGGGGGTTCAGTTCACCATTTTCATGCCCAATAATTTGACTGTAGAGTTCACAAAACCATTTCGGCATGAAAAAACCATTTCAAGTTGTTGATCTAGAATACAACCCTTCTGCAACAAAATTGTTCACTAGGACATGCCATGTCACATCATTAGGAACGAAACCATTTGAGGTGCCACTTTTTAATAGCACATAAGCATCACCGAGCATCCCTACTTTACAATATGTAAAAATCAAGGTATTGTAAGTTATAGCATCAGGACAAACTCCTTCAAGTTGCAATTTTTCAAACAGGTTTTGCGCTTCTCCTACTTTCCCCATCTTACACAGCCCATTTATCAAACTATTATACGTAATGATATCAGGTGTCAATCCTCTCAGGATCATCTCTTTCATAAACTCAAGTGCATTCTGTACCTTACCCATGGTACAATAGGCATTAATCAGAACATTGCAACATGTGTTATTAGGTTGAAAGCCGTTGCTCAACATTTCTTCAATTAGTACTGATGCTTTCTCAACTTCTCTGTCTCTGCAAAGTGCTTTGATCAGTACGCTATATGTAATCTCGTCAAGGGGACATCCTCTGAAAACCATATCATTCACTAGCATATGTGCTTTTTGGGTTGCACCTTTCTTCAATAAATAATGAATTAATGTATTGTAGGTCACTGTATTAGCAATGATTCCCTCTTGGAAGACTTCCAGGTACATCCCTAGTGCCTCATCAACCCTATCAATCATGCACAGTCCAAGAATCAATGCATTAAAAGTGAAAATGTCAGGTTTGTATCCTTTATGCCGCATATCACTTAAAATTTCAAAGGCTTCTTGAATGTTCCCGTTTTTGCATAAAGCGGATATAAGACAGTTATAGCCCACGGTGTTAAGGCTGAGACCATTCGCAGACATCTCACTGATGATCTGGTAAGCTTCCTTTAGATGACCAAGCTTACAGAAACCATCAACTAACATAGTATATGTCACCAGATTGGGCTTTGAAGCACCAACTGACATTTCATTCAACGTCTCAAGAGCAGAAGACAAATCCCCTTTCTTCCAAAACCCCCGTATCAGAATATTATATGTATAAACATCTGGTTGATAGCCAATACTCAACACACTTTCGTTGAGAAAAGCTTTTGCTTCATCCATTTGGCCCTTACTCACATAACCATTAAACAAAGTATTAAACAAGACATTGTTTGGATTGGGCACTTTATTAAATAGAACTCTTGCTTCATCCACCTTCCCACACCAACATAAAGCATTCAGTAAGACTCCATAAGTTATAGAATCTGGGACGAAACCACGAGCAAACATCCTATCAACTAACTTAGCAGCCTCATGGATCCGACCAGTATAACAAAGCCCGTGTATGATGTCATTGAAAGTATTAACATCTGGGATGCAACCCATAAGGAACATCTCCTCTAATAGTTGAAGTGCTTCGTTCACCCTATTAGAGTGAGAGAGTGAATGTATAAGCATCTGGTAAATTACTGAATTAGGAACACAACCATGTTTCATCATATCCCTAAGAAGTGAAAATCCAGTGTCCACATCATTGACCATGCAACACGATTGTATGACTCTAGCGAACGTACACACGGTAGGGGATATACCTTTGTTCAACATCTCATAAAAAACATTTTGGGCAACCTTTGGGCAATTGGCCACCACAAGAATGTCTATCACGACATTGTATGACTTAAATGTTGGTTGACAAGAGAATGTACTCTTCATATCAAAAAGTAGTCTGGTTGACTGCCCCGGGATACCAGCTCTTCCAAAATGCTTCATAATCATTATAAAAAGGGACTCCCTAAAAATCATACCTTCTTGCTTCATCTGCAATAGCAGCCTATCTATGAAATGAAACTCCTTTGCAACCCCAAGCTTATCAATCAAAGTATAGTATCCATCATATGTATGGTTATACCCTGTCTGCCTGCCTGCCCTTTCAAATAGCTCCATCAAAGTGGCTACATCCAGAGGCAGTGCCAATAGCTTGTTTAGCTGATAAGGGCTAATCTTTTTAAGAGATTCCCGCAGTTGTTTGAGGTCATAAGGCTTAAGTAATCTCTCCCATTCATTTTCTGATTCAGACCGGCCAATACCACCCTTGTGTTTCTCCTCAAGGGCACAAGAACAAAATGATAATTTAGAGCTCTTGAAGAAAATCTGTAACTTCCCATGAATGTGAATCAAAAGATTTGGTCTCTTTTTCATCACTCTGGAATGGTATACCAAGAATATACCTATGCAACTCAACAGGCATACAAAAACGCTTTGAGGAGTAGAACGACCATGACACTTTCTCAAATTGAGCTGTTGAACAATGTTGGACTTGGAAATGTCCGGGAAATATGTATATTTCTGACATTTGTAAAATATTATGGGCCTTGTTCTTAAACTAGATTCTCTCGATGCACTTCATATTTTATTATTTGTTAACATTACTAGTGAAATATTTTTTATATAAATCAAATGTGTAGATGTATTAAAGAATAATAAATGTAATATGTAATGACAATTTGTATAAGAAGTTATAATTATGAAGAGTCAGGAGAATGCTGGTGCGGACAATGTTTAAAAAGACGACAAAATATATATTCCTTTGTCCCATAAAACTTTGGCACGATTTTTCTTGGTCAATGATGGTCAAGTTTAACCAATGATACTATTTAAATACGAAATTATTTCACAGATGAAAAGTATGTGGAAATATTCTTTCTCAAAAGTACCTCCATAAAAGTATAAAAGTTATAAGTTTCATACAAATATAATAATTAAAGTCATTGTATGTCCAAACTTTATTACCACTGACCAAGAAAGTCAAATTGGCTAAGTTTAGTAAGACGGAGGGAGTTTTACAACGTGCTTCCATCAGTCTAGACATTTTCTAACACTTCTATATAAACAAAATTATTTTTAATTTAAAAAGTTTTAACCACGAACATACATTTCAATCAAACTCACAAATCATAATTCCAACTAAATAAGGTTTTTGTAAGTTTTAATACATTCACAAAAGTAATTATTATATTATAATCAGTTTATATTTTTGCTCATGTAAATGAGTAATTGGGTTCTTTGAGTAAATGAATACATTATAGATATAGATTGATAGATAGATCAATACCTTTTACACTTATATACGTAGTTGTTAAGTTATTATTCAATTTGTTGTATACAATAATATGCCCAGCTATCAATTGAAAAAAAATTAAACAGCTAATGAACTAAATGATGTAAATAAGTAATCCACTAAATCAGGTTGATAGAAGACTTTATACCTGAAATCTGAAGGTCTAAGTGCCGGACTTTGGGTAATTGTGTCTGAAAAGGGCGGAAGGGGCTGAATTCTGTCAGCCTGAAGAGTAAAGACCTAAAATTGAAGTGTACTCATGGCTCTCTGCCTCGGCAGACGGCACCCGCCAGCCTCGCCCGAAGCTTCCGAATATCCTCCACCCGAAGCCCCTCCGTGAAGCCAGAGATCAATCGATTAGGTGCGCTACATTAGTGAAGCCAGAGAGAGCAAAATAATTTCTTTTACCAAATCGAAGCCAAAGAAATCGATGGATTTTAAAAAGTTTACTTGTATTCGGATTTTTCAAATGACTAGAACTCCCGCACCTTTTAAAAATGAGTTACGTCCAAATAGGTATATTATTTTGGGAAAACCATGAAATAGGTTCGGTTCGGACGTTGCGATTTGGGGCGGTTTCTGGTGTAATTTTTGGATGAAATTTTTTGAGCATCTTATTCATCAGATCTAGTTTACTCATACCAAATGTCAGCTAAAAATTCAATAGTTATCGAATTCAAATTAATTCGATAACGCAAAAATGCGCAGTTATCTTCATTTCATTAATTTGAATGTGTTCCCGATTGAATTTTTAGCTGAAATTTGGTATGAGTAAACTAGACTTGATGAATAAGATGCTCAAAAAATTTTATCAAAAAATTTCATTGGGAACTGCCCCAAATCGCGACGGCCAGACAGAATCTACTATAGAAGGACTTAATTGACTTTTTTATGAAAGTTCGAGGACCTATTTGACAGTTTTCCCTTAATTAAATAAAAAATAATATTTTTTATTTAGACTTAAATTATTCAACTGCAACTTCTGATTGATTCATGTGAATAAAAGTATAGTACCGGCAACAGTATAGTACCTTATACGTACCATAGAATAACTCGTTTTGTTGCAACTGTGCCCGATATGGTACCATTCGGATTAATTATAGTAGAGTTTGTTAATATATATTATTATATTAAAAACGAGTCAATTTGGATATCCTTTATTTAAGATGTAAGACTTGTTCGGATCCTAAATCTTTTAAGACTCACCCGTCTAGTTTTATTTTTCTAAAATTGGGACCCAACCTTAATTATATTCACCGTGAACTTGTTTTAGCGGACCCAGAATTCGCAATTCATGTAACTATTTGCCCACAGGACATGTTTACTTTCATGTTAAACTCACCGTTAGCTTACTAAGGCACCGGGTCAAAGCACAGTTACTAAACATTTTCATCCTCTAACCGGTGCTTATTAAACGGACCCCCACCCCATGTTTTATTTAACCGGTGGCTTAAGCATATCTTTATTGACAATTCTATCCTTATTTCACATGGAGGAAGAAGCCAGACGAAGAGACAATTTTACCTGTAACTTGGCGTGAAGAAGAAGCTTTCCACTGTTTGCTAGATTTGTTTGTAGTTCATCTGTTTAAGAAGAAATGTTCTGAGGTGCGATGATGAAGATGAATCAATCGGCGGAAAGGGTTATTATTGACCTTTTAATTGTAAGACACAGTTTAGGCCCAATGAATTAAACATCCGTTTCATTAGATAAGTCCAAATTGGTTGTGAAGTAAACACGTGTTTAATAAACACTTATTAGACGGTGGCTTTTTAACACAAGGTTTACTAAGCAATGTTTGTTAAGGTAAATATGTGCTTAGTTTTGATATTCAACTCATTGTGGGGGAGAAGTTATTTGTCCTTCATTTAAAATAAAAAGGAGCACACGTTATCTAATGAGGTAGGCCATTATCAATTACGAACTATTTAGCGTAATGGTAAATAAAAAGACAGCAGAAATTAGAAGAAAATGAATGAGGAATAAGCCAACAAGGTTGACTGGTTGAGGGCACGAGAAGCGTTTATCATTATTCTTCATTTCTAAGTATTGTTTATCAACCAAACGGTGTATTGAATGGATTCTACTATAATTCATGTTTAAAAGTGTAAAAGCCCATGTCAAGTATTGATTTTTGCTTGGTGAATTGTGCAAAGTTGGAAATATATAAAAGAATTGTTTTAAAAGTTGAATTTAATTATGTGTTGTAAATGGAGGTGGACCTTATTGCGGACCTGCGGTATCAAAACCGGATGAGTAAACCACTCTAATTACTGTAATTAGTACAAGTTTTGTTGTAACTGTACCACACGTTTTGCCTTTTTTAGGCCCTAATACGATATTGTGGAAGTTAAAGCAGCTCACTGTGTCCAAATCATCGACAGAGGCAGAGTATCGTGCAATTGCTTATACTTTTTGGGACACTCTACATATTCATTCAGTACTCTTTGTAAAAGGCTTTCTCATCACAGTACCATTTCACTTGATCAGTGATAATATTTATGTCTCGTATCTGGCTGCTAATCCGGTTCAACATGCTCGAAGCAAGCATATCCAGATTGATTATCATTTTGTTAGAGAGCGTGTAGCGCATGGTAGTTTGATTGTTCAGCATGTTCCCACGCATTTACAATTGGCATACATGTTTACTAGAAGTCTCTTTAGTCAACATTTTCATTTTTTGAAACACAACCTACGCGTTGTTCCTCCCGCATAGCTTGAGGGGACATTACCACTCTGCATTACAAAGACTTGTCAGGGCTCCTCAGGCAACACTCTTTCCTATTATTTCACAGCAATGACATGACAAGAGAAACACATGAAAAACCAAATATTTGAGAATCATGGATGGAGATGCTCTTAGGCCGAAAAATAAGAAACACTAATTTTAAAGTCGTGAATCCTCCAAAAATAATTGAATATTACATGAACTTATTTTTTATTTTATTTTTTATCAAAATTGAAAATGTAAAAAGAAAATAACAGTTTTTAAATTTTTTCGAGCTACATACAATAGTATACAACAATAAATTATTGAGGTTAGAGCAATGAATCACTTGAACTCGGCTTCTTTTTAATTTTGGAGATACATATATATTCTCTATGTCTCATTTTACATATCTTAATTTCATTTTTTAGCTTGTCTCAAAATAAATGTCACATTTCCCTATTTGAAAAAAAAAAATACTACCTCCGTCCCGTTGGAATGTTTCCGTTTGGTTTACGATGTTTGACGATAAAGCAACTCGATCCCTGTTCACACTCCGCTTATTTTTAGTAAATAAAATTTACATATTCAGAAACTACATTAAAACCGCTACAAAGTCTGATCAAGAAAAGTTCAATTTGATAAAAATCTGATATATAAAGTAAAATATTATGAGTGACCTAAGTTGACCAATGAATAGTGAACGGGAACATTCCAACAGGACGGAGGGAGTATGTGATTTACAACATTTCATAAAAAATTGTAATTTTAATAGATAGATTTTTTATTATGATCACATATGTCATCAAATTGTAATTTTGATTGTCATTTTTTTGAATTGTAAATCAAGTAGAGCATCTCGTACACCACATGGTGAAATACTAGTAATAAAGAGTAATAAATAGAGCACTAATTTAAGTCATGAGTTCTTCATGGAAGTGAGAGGTCATCAGCTTCATCGCCGACGCCGCCACCAAGAGCGCCGCTACCAAGAGCGCCACTAGTTCCACCCAGAGTTGGCAAGCTACTTTCTCCACCAAGCCCAGAACCACCACCAAGGCCTCCACCAAGCCCGGAGCCACCACCAAGGCCTCCACCAAGACCGGAGCCACCACCAAGGCCTCCGCCAAGCCCGGAGCCACCACCAAGGCCTCCGCCAAGACCGGAGCCACCACCAAGGCCTCCACCAAGCCCAGAGTCACCACCGATTCCTCCACCAAGCCCGGAGCCACCACCAAGGCCTCCGCCATTACCGAAGCCACCACCAAGGCCTCCGTCATGCCCATAGCCACCACCAAGGCCTCCGCCATGCCCGAAGCCACCCCCAAGGCCTCCGTCATGCCCGAAGCCGCCACCAAGGCCTCCGCCATGCCCGGAGCCACCACCAAGGCCTCCGCCATGCTCGAAGCCACCCCCATGACCTCCGTCATGCCCAAAGCCACCACCAAGACCTCCACCATGCCCGCTAAGGCCTCCACCAAGCCCGGAGCCGCCACCACCAAGGCCTCCACCAAGCCCGGAGCCGCCACCACCAAGGCCTCCACCAAGCCCGGAGCCGCCACCTCCAAAATCACCACCGGCACCCACGCCTGTGGCAACGCCCCCGTAGGGAAGACCGCCGGTCCCGATTCCGCTAGAGGAGACGAAGTGCTTCTGGTCGTTGAAGCCACTCTCATTTTCGGTGGCGGCCGGCATACTCCTAGCAGCAAAAGTAGCAGAAACTGCTGTCGCGAGGAGAAACAGAGTAATGCACAACTTAAGAGAAGCCATTAGCTTTAGCTTAGCTTGTTTTCTATCTTAGCTAGATAACATTATTTAGTTTTCGTTTTCTTCAGAGCGTGTATTTATATGGGAAGATCGAAATGGTTGGATCGATGAAACATTTAATTAATGTGGAAACTAAAGCTCTCACTCCCTAATTGCTTCGAAGCCGGCGAAATTCCGGCACCTTATTTAGAGCACAGATTGTTCGATTTGTTTTGATTATGTTATGGACATCTGGCGCATAAAGTGTTGGGGTTCGATAATAATCAATGCTTACAGTACATAGAGGAAAGTTCATGTCAGGCCGGCCTGACGGGCTGCTCCGTCCGGCCGAGCCCGTTTGGGCACCTTCCCGGATTTTTTTTGAGCATGTTCCTCATCAAGTCTAATTTGTCCATACCAAATTTCAGCTCAAAATTCGATCGGGAAGGTATTCAAATTATTTTTTGAAGTTGACTGCAGTTTTATATGTATATTTTGACGTAGTCAACTACAAAAAATGATTTGAATGGTATGACATACATAGTAACATCTAAAGCTCCAATTTCCCATTTAAAGGGTAATCTTCACTTCTCTATTGGAGTATATTTAAATGGTAATTGGTGAGTAGCTTTGTCTCCTCCAATTTCAATTCAGCTATATTTAAACTGTAGTTCTAAACCATGCATCCATCTTCTACGCTTCTCTCTTCCTGTGAACTATTTTAGCAATACTGTTTTTTTTTTTTTTTTTTTTTTTTTTTGCAGAAGTTTAACAATATACGAAGTAGTTAGCAATTGGTATTCTAAATATACATTCAATTTAATTTTGTTTTTGTTTGATTGTTTCTTTTGTATAATTCACATTAAATTAAAATCGTGCAGTGAATTAAAATCAAAATATAATCTTGATTGAATTAAAAACCTTGAAGTTAATTAAATCTGGATAGGCGTACATTTGATTAAGATTAAAAATCCAAAACTGTGAATTAAAATTCTATATTTGCGCAGCGGTTTGATTCTTTATGTGCATATCATTTGGTTGATTAAGGTTGTGTTTTTAACTTAAAAATATTGATTGCCCGTTTCAAAGCCTTCAATGTTTAAGGAAAGATTGCATTATTTCTTGACTTAAACAATGTTATGTATTGAGAAGACCGCAATGTTGGTTAGGATTGACTTTGATACTGCCATAGATGACTTTGGCACTTTGGATATAAGAATATTAGAAGACATTGGTTTTTGTGAATAACTCTTGTTCTACATCTTTCTAATTTTAAGGGCCTTTTCTCTAAAAATATCAGGATCAGTCAGGCCTGTGTTTAATTTTTTATTTGTAAAAAAGTAAAAAATTCACTTTGTGAAAATTTAAAAATGAGAGGAATTTGATTATATTTTTAAGAAACTTAAATTTGTAATACATTAGTAAATAAAATGTAGTCAAAATAGAGCACGTGAATAGTTTAAAATTTTCTAATGTTGAAGAACATAGGTAGTATAAAAAAGAGATAATTACCTTGAGTATGACTAAAACTCCGTGAGTTTTTCAATCTATGACATAACTAGTTTTATTCTCAAAATAATATTCAAATTTCTAATTTTTAATTAATTTCGTAATTAATAAATAAATTAATTAATTAATTTCATGGACTAATATACCCTTTAGAATATGCCTATAAAACCCTAATCTTCTACTCATTTTCTCCAACCCTAAGCTCTAGAAAGCCACACACCCGCCTCCCATGACTACTGCACGGCCGCCTGCCGCTGCATAGCTGCCGGAGAGCCATGTGCGCCACCGTCGTTTCAAGCTCTGCGTGCCGCCTCCCAGGCCCCGCACTTCATCCGCAACCAAGTGCCGCATTCCGTCCCAAACCAGCAGCTGCCTCCCTTCATCCCAAACCAGCCGTTGCCGCCCTTCGTCCCCAATCAGCCGCTGCCGCCCTTCGTCCCCAATCAGCCGCTGCCGTCGTCTGGCTGCCGGAGAGCCACCATGGTCCCAAGCTCTGCGCGCGCGCCTCCCGGGCCCTGTCGTTCGTCCCCGACCAGCCGCCGCCTCCCAGGTGCGACGTGCCGCCCTTCATCCCTGACCAGCCGCCGCCGCCCTTCATCTACAACCAACCGCTGCCGTCGTCATTTAACTGCACGGCCGCACACCAACTCGCCGCCTCCACCTAGCCGCACGATTGTCCGCTCCTTGGGTGAAATAGTTGTACTCCAGATCCGCCTCCCTGGAACACTTCTGTAGATGAATACTTCAATTAAAATTAGGTTAGACTTTTTCACATGTGTGCACTACGGATCAGCTACAAACTCATGCCCACTATCCTCATTTTTTGTCTTTTCTAATTTTGAAAGTTGGAGTTTCTAAAATTAGGGTTTTTTAGCATTAAATATGTGCAGTGAATTGAATATCTAACACTGAGAGCATCTCTGATCCACTACTTTGGACTTTAAAAAAATCGTGCCACATCACAACTGTATAAAGTATTGGGTTTTTTCAGCTTCAATGGACTCTTTTGTGCGCTGAGGTGTACAAAATAGTCGTAGACATCGTGAACCATACTTTCTTAAACTGAAAAGCCAGTTGAACTGGCTGACTCAGCAAATTAGCTCAACGTGGGGGAAATAAGCGGGTTTTAAGATGTGCGAGAAAAAAAGGCGCAATCACTACCTAAAAAAAAGCGCCAAACCATCTGCATTATTCTATATCTCCTTCTCCATATACAAGCCACCGTCTCAGCTATAGCCACAATTCTAACCGACCTATATTCATGAATTAGGAATTCAGAGCCTCTTGATTTTTCTCTCGTATCTCAGCCGTCTTCTAGCTCTAATTTGGTAGTATCAATCTTCACAAACGAGGTAATGCTTTTTTTTCTCAGAAAAGACGGTGAATATGTCGGTTTGCATTTTTTGAGATTTATGAATTGGGTTTTGGATAAATTTGGTTGGTAAGATAATTGAGCTTCTCCCTCAATTCCCACCTCCAGGCCGGCAAGCTATTTGAGACACAGTCATTCGAATTCCGAATCAGACACAATCATTTGAACATAACTGATTTGGATTTAGTTATTATCTTCTTTATATAAATTTGGACAATTGGACAAAAAGAAAAAAATATCATTCTAATTCCGAATCTGATTTTCAAGAATTTTTCACAACTCTATTAGCAAATAAAATGGCAGAGTGGCTGGGTTGATTGGTTTAGTGCTACCCTCGTTTTTTTCTTCTATGTATTTAGTCCAATTTTAGGTATTATGAATAATTCCGATTCTAGATGTTATCAAGAGTGATATCAGATACTAGATCTTAGCAAGATAGAGATGTAAGAAGGTATATTCTCATTTTTAATAGAGTTTTTTAGTTACTATCTACGTAGTAAAACTTAATATTCTTATTTATGTACTGATTTTCTTATTTCAGGACAAGTTGGATTATTTACCTCCTTCATTCTATTTATTAGTTACCCTTTTACTACTCTAAATTTATAAATTAATTTTGCAAGTAATTCACTATCCATTAGGTATATGTAGTTTATTGGCTGGTTCAGTACACATTGGTCAGAAATTTATAAGTAAGTTGTTTTTATCTCTTGTTTAGTAAATTAAACTTGTGTTGGTGATTATTTTATGTGATTGTTTTGAATACATTTTTCAAGTTAAATAATTTTCAAGCTTCTATTATGAATTCTTTATATATGAATCATAAAATCTAGCAACAAGTTAGAAAATGGTCAAGCTCCCAACTGCACTAATTGTAGGCAAGATTAATTATTTACTTTACACATGCTTTGGAAATCACATAATTAAATATTAGTCCATAGTAATAAAAGAATGGGTATAAATATAGTGTATCATAATTGAAAGCAGGGAAGGGAAAGAGACTCAGGGTTTTTGGTTAAGCCTTACTTGGGTTTTCTGTTATTGTTTGTTCATGGCCATCTTTATGCCTATCTTGGCAAATCTCTCATTTTTACCCTGAATGGGTGAGGAAGACTTGTAGGGCAGTGGGCTCATCAAACCTCCCTATGCCTCAGGAGAAGGTCTGCAAGCAATGTGGGATATCCCAACTTTTTTGCTGATTGAGTTGATTCATTTATCTGGATCCAGTTGATCCTCATATAAGTTAATCTTCTGTTAGATATTATTAAAAAACATTTTTCTTTGTTGCTTTTGTTCAAGTACAAATATGGTCAAATCAAAGTTTATTTTAAAAAAATAGTGTATCATCAAGCAGCTACCCTTCTAAATAACATAAATGAACATAAATGATAGCAAGTAGCTAAAACTTTAAGTTTCATATCACAAAAACTTAACATACCATTATTTTACATTTATTATAGTTTATATCAATCAAAACACCTAATAGAAAATCAAATCAGATAGTACTATACCATGATGACTTAAAACTTGAGCCTAAATGAACCGATTGAGGTCCCAATGTTAAAAACAAAAATCAATCACCTTCATTGGTGCCATATATTTCCCACAAATGGTTGATAAGATCACGCTTCAAGGCTATATGTGCCGATTTGCTTTGTATTTGTTTCATTCGAGTATTCATCATTGACATGAGAAAAGTAAAATCATGCTCCAAAGTCACATTTTGAGGAACTTCATCTTTGTCTGGTTGCCAATTTTCAGGGTTGATTCCTTGATCAGACTCATTTTCAATAATCATATTATGCAAAATGATGCATGTCTTCATTATATTCCCCAAATCGGTTGCACTCCACATACGTGCTGGTCCTTTAACTATATGCCACCGACTTTGTAAGACTCCAAATGCTCGCTCCACATCTTTACGTACCGATTCCTGACGTTTTGCAAATAATTTTTCCTTCATAGAACATGGTTGTGAAATTGTTTGAATCAAAGTGGCATATGGCGGATAGATCCCATCGGATAAGTAGTAGCCCATATTATAGTGATGACCATTTACTATGAACTCACATGAAGGAGCAACATCGTTAACAATATCATCAAATAAGGGAGATCGGTCTAGGACATTAACATCATTGTTAGTACCAGCCATGCCAAAGAATGCATGCCAAATCCATAAATTATGCCCAGCTACAATCTCTAGAATAAGAGTTGGATTTTTTTTAAAACCATTAGTGTGTGTTCCATGCCAAGCAGTCGGACAATTCTCCCAATGCCAATGCATACAATCTAAACTACCAAGCATACCTGGAAATCCTCGTGATTCACCATCCTTTAGTAAAATGGTAATATCCGACTTATTTGGTTTCCTTAAATATTGTGCTTCAAATAATCCTATTATAGCATCACAAAATTTCTTTAGACATTCAATAGCGGTGCTCTCTCCGATTTGCACATATTCATCAAGAGAATCGGCTGAACAACCATATGCAAGCATGCGTATTGCTGCTACCACTTTTTGTAAAGAGCTCAACCCAATATTTCCAACTGCATCTGTCTTTTGGATGAAGTAATCACCATAACTCTCAACGGCATGCCAAATTCGTTTAAATAGATCAATATCCATTCGAAACCTTCGCCGAAATGTATCGGGTGTGTACTTTGACTGCTCACCTTTGAAATAATCACCAAAAATCATATCATGTCGCTCTTTTCTATCACGTCGGATATAAACCCTGCCAAATTTCGAACCGCCATGTGGGAGCTTTTTTTCCTCTAACAATGTAGAAATTATCATAGGAACATGAACTGCACAAGTCTGAAACACATTGGAGTTTGTTTCCTCATAAACATCATCTCTTGTGATTGACTTATCAAATAATTTTTTAGTAAGAGAAAGGGATGTCGAGCTGGATGTTCCACTATCAGATTCCGATTCATAATTCAGTGATGCCATATATATATTATAATATGAACCTGTTAAAAAAATAATTCACACTTGATCTCAAAACTTTGCATTTAAAATTATTCTCAATATATTATACCTATATAAATTTTTGTTCTCCACAAATTGAAATAATATTACCTGGCCTTGATCGAGCAAGCGAATCAACCTCGGAAGAACAAAAATCTTGACAATTCGACTTGTGAACGAAAGATGAATTCTACATGAATTAATAGATATATATTAGTTTTAAAATCAATGTTTTTTAAAATATTAAGAAACTAGAAAATCTGAAGTGATTTGTTACAAATATAAGATTGCCGTTAGCTAGATGGCCGAAGGAATTGTTTTTTGAAGTTCAAATAACTGGAGAAATTGAATGTTGAAAGTGTGCATTGCATTCGGATAAAGAGGTTAGAGTTTTCAGCTTTGCACATTCCTCCTACGTGGTTTAACATTCCACCCATTTAATGACATGTGTCCATTTTTTTTTAATGTTGAAGCCATAGCGTTAAAGATGCTCTGAACATAATGTTGTACATGGCACTGAATGAATCCATTAAGTAAGTTTGTTGTGCATTGATTATGATCGGTATGCAATAACATAGAGCAATAATTTCGTCATAAAAAGCAAAATACTTAATTAGACATAAAATAATAAAATTATTAAGTTTAAAAAAATAAAAACTATAAATAATTTCGTAAAATCAATGAGAAGATAATCAATTTGGCGGAAGTGAAGTGATTATTACCGAATGTGCAGTAATGTTGTGCAATAACGACAATATGAAGTGCAGTAATTATAATTAGATGAAATTAGTGCAAAATGCCCATATTTTAAAAAAGGGTATTTTCGTCATTCAAGATTTAAATATAAACAAATTTTTCTTATTTTTTTTTGGATTTTTGGTCATACAAACATCTAAAAACTAGTTAGGTCATAGATTGGGAAACGCGTTGAGTTTTAGTATGTCCTAGTAAATTTCCCAAAATCTACAACCTAGTCAGGAAGTATAATTTTTTTGTCTTATTTATCAAAAATAAGTTATTTTAATTTTAATTTTTTTCATAATTCTATAAATTTAGTAGCAGACACAACTAGGAGTACAAATAATTCAAGTCAAGCTCTAACATGTGTATGCTTGAGTTTGAGTTTGATAAAAATTCAAAAAAATTATTCGAGCTCGAACTCGCATCGAGAACAACTGGAGCTCGACTCGAGCTCGATTCAAGCTCGGGTCAAGTTTTACTAATTAATTTTTATAGATTTGAATTTGAATAGGATGCTTGAACTTGAACTCGAGTTCGAAGTAAGAGTAAAACTTCTACATTCCATATTATTGATATTACATTTATGCATACAAAAATAATAATATAATGTTTGTACTTAATTGTTTTTCTAGTTCCTCTCTCCTCCAGGAATATTTGTATTCCTTATATATTCTACTGTCAATATATATTATAGATGATTATAATTATTAGGAAAAAGGTTCAAATAAGCTGACCTTGTACTATTTCCAAATCGTCACTTAAGCCCCATGTACTAAAAAAAAGTATCATATAAGTATGCCTACTTTACAAAATGGATCAATTTGACCATTTAATCAGCTTTTGACCTGCAATAGCAGGTCTTTAATACTTAAACATTCAAAAAAATTGTTAAAATTTGAAGAAATATATACAAAAGTTGTGAAAATGTTTAGAATATCAAAGTCAATATTTTTTAATTTTAAAAAATATTTGTATATTCGACATCTATTTAAAAGCTTTTTAAAGTTTTTTTTTATGTTCACATTATTTTTTTCAGTTTTATAATTTTTTTTAAATTTTATACTTTAACTTTTTTAAAATTTTATCTATTTTTATATTTATAGTATTTTTATATTATTATTAGATTATTTATTCAAATTTATATGAACTTTTTAAGATTTATCAAAATTTCTAATTTAATTTAAAAAATAACCTGTTATACACGTTAAAGAGCTTGGTTGATTGTATTTTAAAAGTAGACATACTTATATGATACTTTTTTTAGTACAATGACTTAAGGGACGGATTAGAAATAGTAAAAGGGCTTATTTGACCCTTTTTCCTAATTATTACATTATAAATTATGATTATAACAATTGGAATTAATAAATTTTCTAACATTTGTAATTGTAACTATTATAGTATACACCGTAATAAGTATTGAATATGGGATAGTCCTAAATTAGAATACAAATTCAAAATATATTATATATAATGATTATATATAAATGTATATATACACACACACACAAAGGCTCGCGGACAGACTCACGAGCCACGAGCCTAAAATAAATAGGCTTCGATCAATTGAACTTGTTAAATATTTGATCCGAACAGAACTGGAATTGAACTTGAATATGACCAAACTCGGTTTTCCCCCCTAGCAATCCACGAATAGTTCACTTACAACTTGGCTTATTTAGACCCTAGACTAGACTGTTGCAAGCAGAGTTTCATCAATTTAAATAAACTAGTTTTTAATACGCGCGTTGCGCGATGGGGCAAATGCCCAATATTATGTATATGAAATATACTTTTGTGGGATTTACTATAAGAGAGCTCTTCTCATCAGGCCGGCCTGACGGGCTGCCCCGTCCGGCCGAGCCCGTTTGGGCACCTTCCCGGTGGAATTTTTTGATGAAATTTTTTGAGCATGTTCCTCATCAAGTCTAGTTTGTCCATACCAAATTTCAGCTCAAAATTCGATCGGGAAGGTCGTCAAATGATTTTTGCAAGTTAACTGGTCCGGAAAATACATATTCCGGACCAGTTAACTTGCAAAAATCATTTGACGACCTTCCCGTTCGAATTTTGAGCTGAAATTTGGTATGGACAAACTAGACTTGATGAGGAACATGCTCAAAAAATTTCATCAAAAAATTCCACCGGGAAGGTGCCCAAACGGGCTCGGCCGGACGGGGCAGCCCGTCAGGCCGGCCTGATGAGATGATTTCTCTTTACTATAAAATTCAAATTACACAGAAAGAACATAAATGAAAAAAAAAAATTGAAGTAAGAAATGCAACACAAAAAATTTCCCAAAGTACAACAAGTCACATAGAATTTTTCCATCATTTTCAATGGAGCCAAAGATCTATTATTTTTTGGCTTGAGAATATGATGGAATAAAGTAAAATGGCTCACTAAACTGTCTGCGCTTCTTTGTTATGAAGCAACATTTAGTCCATGCAATTTTGGACGCGATTTTCACTACGGGTCATCCGGAAACAATCTCTCTGTGCTTTAGTACAGGGGTAAGACTGCGTACATCCAACCCCCTTACCCCCAACGTAGGTGGGAGCCTTTGCGGCACTCGGTAAATGAAAATGATGATGATGACAACAAGTCACGTAGAATAAAGTCATATTAAATGCTCCGTATAAAATTTTACTCTAACTACACATTGGAAATGGCCTCAGATTCCCTCAAAACTGTTCTCCAAGTTTGCATAGGCTGGCAATCTCTTCCTCGTCCAGCAGAATGACGTGTTCTTGGTTCAAACAAAAACATCTATGTCCTTCCGTCCATAACTCCATATTATTGGTTCTTGGTTGAAAGTAATACTTCCTCTATATATCCCCCCAAATAACCATGTTTGTAGTATTCGTATCAGTATAACAAACAAGACGGGTAAATATTCTTTTCATTACACCGTGAGAGTACACAAAGAGGGTAAATAATCTTTTCATTACATGAGACCAAAAGTGACTCCTAATTTGAAGCTGACTTTTATCCTGCATTATTAAGAGGCTTGAAAGGATATGAGAATGATTATAATAGTATCTTTTACCTTTCATAAAATCACAAACATTACAGTTATATTTTAAAATTAAGATATTGTACCTGAAAAGAATAAAACAAAAACGACTTCACTCCGAGAAAACATAGAGATTAACTTAAACTTATATATCAAACTGTATTGAGCTTAAAACCAACCTGGCACTGAAAAGAACCAGACATTACGTTATACTACGTATCTTTTAACTATGATGAAATTAGGGGGTGTGGAAATTAGCCGCATTTTAAAATAAGTTATCGACACCCTCGTCTACTTGTCAATCACCTGTTCCCTTGAATTGGGCTTTTAACTTTGCATTTTGGGACATCACTTGTTATACTTTTTTTTCTTTTTTTTGGACAACTTGTTATACGTAGTACTATTTTTGTTTTACTGTTTCTTATACTATTTAATATGGCAGTTTTTATAAGTCAATAGAAAATCAAATATAAAGATAATAGATTCTAGGGACAGCAGAGACGATTTAGTTTCAAAATTTATGTTTATGTTCATCTCATTGCTCTCAACTACATGTTCATCATACATGAGTCAAGTTTACTTTTAAAAAAATCTAGTGTACATTTAATATGGTAATTAAAATAAAATGGAGACATTTGCTTTTGTGGTTCTAAAATAGAAAAAGAAGGCTAAAATCTTTCCAACTTAAGTGGTCAGATGTTGATATAGATAAACACACTTACCTACAATGGTGTGTTAAAACAGAAATAGGGAATAATTATTAGCACAAAACATTGAAAACTGGAGCATACGATTGTATGACACTTGTAAACTCTTCTAAAATGAAAAGATTCTTTAATTTAACCACAAGACATTACCACAGATCAGATTTGTGCTATTAAATTAAACCATACGAAACTAAGAAATTGGTTATGCTTTTCTAAAATAAAATAGATACTATTATCAGTTTTGATAAACACACTTGTATGAGATCCTATATAATTAAGACTTGATTACTTATACTATGTATTAATAAAAAAAACATATTAAACTTCTACAAGAGTACAAATATGCAATCATTGATTTCTACATATATATGACTGCCGTTTTGCCCTTCCTGCTCTTCGATGATTAAAAGTTTTAATACTTCATTATTTATTAATGAGGTTAAACAGATAATGATATAACTGACCCAAGAGCACCATTGTACAATCTTTTATTCTATGGAAATTGATCTGATTATGCTTTTCTACATGTCAAGCAAAACAAAAGAAAAAAAAACACCAGAGTTAGATAAACATTAAAGCGGAGCAAAAAGTGATGCACTCAAACTCAAAAAATGGCGTTGCATAGAAGATGGAGAAAACCTAACTTCTTACCCAAACAGTTCTTGAGTTATTGGTTGGATCTCATATGCGA